AACCATGCTCTCTAGGGTTCATTCTACGCATGCGCGTACACTTCACGCATGCGCTGTAGTTGAACTGCGTTTTGTGACTGAACGCAAAAAAAAGAAAAAATGGAGTCGAATTTATACCTCGGGCGTTTCCTACGGAAAGCCCGAGTAAAAACCCGGTTGTAAGAACCTAGATTGTTTCTAGGTTAGCCTAAAAAAGGTCTAACTCGGGTCGAAAATGCCCCTTTTCGGGGTAATATCTACGATAAAACAAAATACGAAACAAGCAAAGACTACGGGACGAAGTGTTGGACTGTATATCACCGCGAAAGAGATTGAAACATTAAAATAATCTTCAGACTTTTATCATTAACGAATCTAAACGAACCACTACATAAACTGCACAACTGAGAATGAAGCGACTCTTACTAGTTCTTGCTTCTTGTCGACGCCGGGGTATTGCTGCCAGGCAATGTAGGGAAGGATGTCAACGTCTTCTGCCAAAACCAAATCAGACATAGAAGGGCCCTGTGCTTTGTCGAATTTCTCGTCCTGGAAAAAACAAACAAGTAAAAAAAGAAAAGAGTAAGACAAGATGCATGTTTAAACAAACAGTAATTCACGATGAACAGGGGATTTTGAGGAAAAAGATTTTTCTTCTTTCCTATTACAGTGAAAGTTTTGCTTCTCACTAAGGTTTGGATGGATTTTAAATAGACTGCTTTTCGACATCCTTTTTGTAGGTTAGGTTTTCCAAACTACGACTTCCGAACACTCTCGAACATCACCGAAGATTAACGACTGTCTTAATCAACAGATGTCTTAATCACGCTAAGTTTGTCCTGTGTGTCATAATAATGTAATCTCATGTTTCTTAAAAAAATAAAAGGGGTTAATAACAGATTTGCACGATATCGTCATTTTACTACAACTACCAGAATTCTCTTGGTTTTTTCTTTGTTATTTAAATTTTGAAGCCCAAGTGGGGTTTAAATAACACTGAATTGCCCTAATTAGCATAAGCAAGAGAAAAAAAATGAAGGATTCTGGTAGTTGTAGTCACTAGTCACTTCCATTCTCAGGGAAAAAATTCTTTACTCGCCTCGATGCGATAACCAATGTTAATTGTTCTCCGCGGATAAGTAATCTAACTCGCAAATATTACCTTTTCTCTGTGCTCAACCGCTACAAAACTCGTGAATTTTGATACCACGGAGAATTCCTTGCTTAAAGAAATGATATAGTCTTTTCTGTCCCGCTTGACGATCTGAGGAATCAAGTCAACAAGTATAGTTATATTTATCTGAAGGAACACCGCAAGTTTTCAGCCCAAAAATTACCAGTACCTTATTTCTCCTCACTCCACAGCGTAAAACTTAGAGGCTGCGATGATTTCATTCTCACGAAGAGTCAATAAAAGATATTGTTTTGAAGAGGTGTAGAGCGCCTTTAAATTGAGTGCCGTGAAAACCAAAATAAACTGGCCAGTCACAAAGGACACACAATCCAAAGAAACAATCAAACCTGGAAGCTCATTTAAAGAAACGCAACAACAACAACAACAACAACAACAACAACCAAAATGAGATAGCTTCTAACAGACACCGAATGTTAGAGGGGCGTTAGAGCCGGCCATAAGTTATTGTTCACAAGTCTTCAGTTCAGAAATTATCAATTATCAAATTGGAAGATTCTCTACTGACAAACCTCGTGCCCAGTTCTCTGCTCGTGCAAGCTACCTTCGTCCCAGTCTCTTATAATTGCTCGTGCGGTCAGTTGATGAAGAATCTATCAAAGAGCCATAATTACAAAATTGCATGTGGACAGAAATCAAATAAGTGACTTACGAGAACAAAATTGTCCACGAAACATCGTGAATTTTGATGATCCAATGTTTTCTACATTTGCTTCCCTAAAGCAGAGAAAACAACTTGTAGGGACTGCACTTCTCTTATTTTGCATTACGCAATGTTTGCTGGACGTTAAAATCTTGGCAGCATTTGTTCATTAGTGTTTATTACACTGGAGGGGTGCGAGCATTATCTCGAGATGTTCCTAAGCTAGGAATTGCTTAACAGAACTTACTTTGCCAGAGGTGATATTCAGTTCAGCGGTAGATACCATGGTCGACACCGTCTTCCCGTTAACCTTCGCTGTCAAGGTCGCCTATAAAATAAATTAAAAAGAAAATAAGTCAACACTAAAAATGTATGAATGGTGTAAACAAGTCAGTAGTTACCTGTGTACAGTTATCTGCGAATCCGTACACAACTTGTCTCGAGCCGTTGAACAAGGACAGCAGTTGGTAGGGAGCCTGAACCGGGAGACTGGAACCGGAATTGTGCTGCTGCCAGGTAACCGCTACCGACGTAAGGCCTGGCTGGCCAGCTTTGGACAACTGCCACTTCACCTAAAATGAAGTCATTTTACTACGTTAGAAAAAACATTAACGCGACGTAAGTCAGCGCCATCCTCTAATGGTTGGTGTGGTTAACTGTGGGCTTGAGCCCCGGTGATATGGTCTTGGACAAACCACTTACTCTTGCAGTGCCACTCTCCTCCCAAAAGTACAAATGGATATCGGAGATTTTTCACGGCAACTTGCTAGCTTGAAAAATGCTCGGGTGGTACCTTGCTATGGACTAGCATCCCATCCAGGGAGGGTACCAATACTCCAAGTCTAGTTGCTACAGAAACCATAAAATTACACCGAGCAATAATCTAATGTTCTTTACCTTTCTTTCCCATTTTGATTTGGCCTTACTCTCGAAAAACTCTGAAGCACCAGCTCCCACTCTAGACATGGCTCGTAAAAGGTAACGGTTGGCCGTGGAACTGTGGAATCAAGTCAAACCACACATGGAAATAAGAGAACACTTGTCATCAACATTTTCAACAAACGACTTTCAAATGTCTCTACCCCGTAAGAATTGGAGGTTGCTTGAAATGGGAACACCAACATGGGACCAACGGGAATTTGCTTTATTTAAGGGCTTGTGAAAGGAAGTGACTGCATAATTAAGGTCAAAAGTAGGAGTGAATTCTCTCATTCGGTGAAGGTACTGCCTTTTTTGCCAAATAATTCTTGAGCACTTGTCATGAGTTTCTATCTTCTGTTTTACAATCAAGGATTTCTGAAGCGCTTGCTGTCACGTCAACGTGCCCTCGAAAGGTTACGTCGCGTTCTCAGCAGTATCCGCATGTCTCAAATAATTTCTCTAATATTCACAAGAAACCGTCTTTTTAGGACGGTGACTACAGAGGAAGGTGCCGAAGTATTATTATCTATTAACACTCTTTGCAGTTTGCTAAGCACAAATGTTCACTTCCTACCCCACTCCAAACGTAAAGAGTCTGTCACTCTGGTAGTGACTGCGAATCAAATCACGTGTAGTGTCCTCCTCCGTCACGTGACCATCTGAGATGAGAAACAGGTTGCGAGGGTGGTCAGCGGTGGACAGCGCGGGCACTAGATAGAGTTTCTGAAGGACGCGCCATAATTCCGTACTTCCTCTTGTGGCTGTTAAAGACTGAATTAAAAAAGTAGAAAGCAACATTATTAAAGGCTATTAATCTAAACAAGTTCAGTCAGCTGAGACCAGTAAAAAAGCTTTCACATGACAACACATAGAGCAAATTACAGCATGTTTACCTTGACAAATTCTACAGCATCACTGTGTGCAGCTTCGTCTTTTCGCTTGCTGCATGGAAACAGCTCGGAATGCTCTACAATGAGAGAACAACATTCGTTATTACCGTACCTAAATTCGCAATAGGGACTTTAAGCAAATCGCTACGGATGGCACTGATACGGCTGTCGGAAGTAAATTTCCCCCAAAACGAGACACTGCGCATGTACGTCGGTTGCATCCAACCGCAGCGTGAAATCTGACTACGCGAGTCGGGATGTTTTGCCGTAGTGGCTACTACGTCGGGTTTATTTCGCTTCTCTGACCCTTTTCAACGGACATCTCGGCATTTTAAGAATTCCATTGGGTACTATGTCCTTTAAAGTCAATTTAAGTCAAAGATTGTGCCATGTTTGCGTATCATAAGCTTGTAAATCCGTATCCTGGATTTGCGATAAGTTTTGGCAAACGTGTTGGAATGGCGAAGCGAGTCAAGTGAAATATTCGTGTTGAGCGCGAGGTTAATTTTCTACTGTTAAGTTTGCTTTGAGAGTATAGTGAAGATGTTTTATATCTGGATAACTATACGATACTATTTTGCTTGTTTGAGTATTGATATATTTGTGTTCTTTACTCGATATTCTTTGAGATATTTGTCTCTGAAATTATATATTTCATCCATCAAATTGTTATGGTACAAATTGTATGGCATTCGCTTTCGCTCAGAAATCATCTGTTCGTCCTAGGAAGGCGAATAAAAGCCATCGTCCTTTGAGCGAAGCCATTTGGCTGTGAGAAACTAAATAAAAGAGATTGTGAACTCCTTAGTCGATGTTTCTTTCATCTTTGTATTTCGCTTTGTTAAACTTAAAATTTGGCAGACCACCGAGACGTACTCTCCCCAGACCTTTTCAGTCACGGCAGCCGTAGTGATTTGCTTAAACTCCCTAATTAGCCAATCACAAGCCGTATCTACAGTCCTGATATCCTGCGATATCAATTCACTGATCTGATATGGCTTCGATATCACGGTCAATTTAAGTGAAGTCATTTTTCCGTGAGTCAAATTGAAGAAGAGGTTTTAAAAACAGAATATTAACCTCGAAATTAAACATTGAGCCTTTCTTCACGGGGTCTAAAAGGCGTCAAAACTTTCCCGCCCAAACTGAACTCAACGCGCGCGCCACGTAACTGGAACGCCCGACAGATCACCGTAACTAGAAAAAGATCTCCAGAACTTTGACCGAATTTGTTTACGGTATGTATCTAATCGTACCTCTTTTGGTACGCTTCGGCGCTATATTATTATCATTTTATTATTATATCAAGTTCGTTTGGTCTGGACGACCAAACTCACCCAATACTGCATTGAAGCGTAACAAAAAGGTACGATAAGGTAAAAATAACGCCGTCCATTTTAAAATATGGTAAGGCAGTCTTGAGGTAAATCCGAGTTCAGGGGCCCGTTTCTCGAAGGTCCCGAAACGTTTTTGCACCCGGAAAGCCCTAGCAAAATCTCGAAGCTTATGATTACAGAGCTGTTTTATTCACGTATTCTTAATATGATCAGAGGTTCCCGCCTTCATACAAGAAGTTTCAAGCGTATACACTTCTCCGTTTTTAGATAGAGATGAACTAAAAATGGCTTTACGGGCCAGAAAAGTTTCCGGGGCTTTCGAGAAACGGGCCCGCGCCGGGTTGTTCGAAAACCGGTTAACGCGAACCCAGGATCAAAAGTTAACCGAGGTATTAATTTTTCTTCTATGAAAATGTTGTTACTGCTTATGTTTTGTGTAGTTTGAGATTATTCAAATCCAAAACTGAAGGATAAACAATATAAACAGAAAACCTCACGGAAAAGTTACAAAACTAAAATCAACATTCTCGCTTATCCTAGGTTAGCTTAATCGGGCTTTGAACAACCCAGCCCTTATTGGTTCTTTCTCGGTCCGGATTTTGCGATACGGACCGTTTCCACGTTACGGTGGAAGTCTTTTGAATGCAAGTGTCCAGAAGCGCGTCCTATAATAAGCTACTTACTAACCTAGCTTGCTCAAGCCGCACTAGGGAATATAGGCTCCCGTTCGTTTATGTACGCTGCGCTCGCTCTGTACTGCCACGACCTTGCGCCAATATTCCGTAGTACGGCTCTCGCGCTGGGTTAGTAAAAGGTTATTATTATATGGCTAGCTCCGTGAGCGGGCAAGATGAATCAAATCCTGCGCTGTGATTGGTTACCCGAGCGGGCAAGATGGAGCTATCTTGCCCGCTCGGGACTACCCGCCGTGTCCCGCAAGAAAAATTTCCCTGAAAGCCATATAATAAATCCTTTATTGACCAAGTTTGTTCGGCCAAGATGGCTGGATATTGGCCTCGTTCTTTTTTTGCGTGTTTATGGACCTCGACTCCGTCTCGGTCCATAAACACCCAAAAAAAGAACTTGGCCAATATGCAGCCATCTTGACCTCACACTTGGTCAATAACCCATATATATCCGGAATCCTAAATAAGCGCGAAAATTTTCGGAAGGAAAAATGAAAAATGGTCAACACAAAACATGCATTGACAATCAGGATTGAATAGCTTTTTGTTTTCAGTAAAGGGAAGTAAGGGAAGCTGTGTACATAACTACGATGATCATTCAAGTCTTAACATATTTCTCCGCAATTGAAATAAAAGATCTTTCATTTATTCAGCTGCATGAAACGAAGCAAGTGGGCTTTCTTTTACCTTAATTCTCAAGAGCCCAAAGACAGTTCATAAAATTAACATGCTTCCGCCACAAACAACCTTTGTCTGTCATGTTTTAGCTGTGCATTTATGGAGTTATCCATGCACGCTAGACATGCCGGAACCACGCAATACAAGACGCTTCTTTAGAATTACGTCTCTGTGATTTCAGTTGACAAATGCTTGATTTTGAAATTTTTCAGCGGCCTGTTTCCATCCACAACAAGACACAGCGATAGGCGTGCACGTATTAACGGGAACAAAATCATGTACCTTCACAAATGACCACAAACCCACCCAAGCGATACACTAACATGCCCTGACAAATGTGAATAGGGGAAAAAAATCGAAGGGAAAAAAAGAGAACGTACTTCCCCACGGAAGGTGTAAAACTCTTGAAGATAAAAGACAAGAGAACAATAAGAATAAAAATTGTCGCCGTCGCGAGTCACGACCATTAAAAGCCATTACATACTAAAACAGGAAAATATTCACGTCAGTATCTACTCTCGCAAAAATCCTTCATGTGGTCAAGAAAAGAAGTAAAAGAATTGTCAAATAATTAAGTAGAATACGCAGACACCAATTATCCCACACGAACCAGCAATCAATTTGAAATCCGCACGCTTCTTTGGTCTTTGTGCACACATTCTCTCTCTTTAAATTGAAATTGAACGTACACTGAAAAACTTCGTGAGAAAAAACCTTTGACATATCCCTTATTTGGAAAGGCTCCTGAAGTCCAAAAAAGTTCCCAAATTATACGTTTTAGTGCCAAGCCGAAAACATTGCCTTACACTTCTTTTAACAGTCTTACATGGAGTGTTTTTAATAACTCCGTAGCCACCAGTCAGTTAGGCTCGATTACCAGCCACTGTTCGGGAAAGGAGCCCGCGCTCCTCCCCGAACTCTTCTCGGGGAGGAACGTAGACCGGACTCGAGAAAGCGGCGGAAATCGAGCCTACCAGTCAGTTCTCAGTCTTTCGGTTTGAGGTTTGCAAACCAGAGTTTACTTGCAAACCACAAAACGATAGCAACATGTCCAAACAGCACAATCACGGCCATACCGACCGTGTTCACTATAGTTGGCTGTGAAGAAAAACGTTCCTGGAGAACGGTTCGTCTTTCTTGAAGGTCCACCTGTGCGGTGTTGAAGGCCTGTTGAATGCCCATGGCGATCAGAATATGAGCCAGGTTGTGGCTTTGACCAAAATTATCGAAAACTCCACTCATTAATCGCTCCGGAACTCTGGCCGCGTACAACACGGCGCCTAGACTACAGAAGATCACGTGACGCTTGAAATACACCATAGACACGCCGTTATAAGCCGGGTCAGCGTTTTTGCACAGAAGAAGGCGAACGGTATACGGCGACGTGATAACAAGCCAGTTTACTGCAAGGATAGCGACCCTGAGCACGGATTTACAATTACGCCAACGTAGATGACTCGACACGCAACACAAAAGAGTTGCAAGGAATGAGAAGACCGTGGAAACGGTCTGGAAAACAGCCAGCGAATCGTAAATCGCCCGTACTGACGCGCCCGCGGCACGGGAGTAGAAAAACAGAGCTTGTCCAGCGGTGAATGTGTAAAATCCTATAGCCGCGTAATCAAAGAAAAAACATATCCTGTGGAATTTCTCCGACATGCAGTTGAAAAGATGCGCGAAGGAACTTGTGAGATACAGTACGGATATACCCACGGCGAAGGAGATCAGCGGCAGGAAGAACGGATCATCAGTAGGTAAAGACGTCATGTTCACTGAAACAAAGAGTACCAAAGCAAGCAGGTGGCTCCAAACATTTATGGTCTCATTTGAAGATCGAAGCAAACTTCTAATACATTCCCAGAACGAAAACCCAGGACTTCGATACCCGGAAACGATGAAAGGCACTCTAAATACTTCGGGAACTTGGCAGTGTTTCAATCCATACGTCGCCTTGGCAGCCATTTTGAAATGATCTTGAGCATCTGAACAGATAATTTCTTCTTTGTTTTCGCTTGATGGAGAAGCAACCTCGCGTCCGTAAAAATCCTTTTCGAGTTTGTAGTCTTGGGACAAAGCCGCCGTTTTTTCACTTGTTCCAGAAGGATTTTGAAGCCTTTTGTGAATTGTTGAATGCATTGTCGATGTTTCTGGTCGTCTTAACTTCCGGCTAGGAAAGGAATAAAAATCGCTGTTTGTTTTCAACGGTCCGTTTGCCGATGACGTGCCCTCGGTCAGGCAAAAATTAATTCATTCGTGGCCCTCCGTGAATAACCTGACGATTCCGCTAAAAGGAAATGCTTTTCTGCCGCAGGCCGATTTCTTAATTTTTTCTCCGCAATCTGCTGATCCGGCACGATTTTTAAAATCCAAATGAATTATTCCGCGTCGTGTCTTTTAAACCTGCCAAATCACCGGTTGTAGGGAAGAACCAAACAGTAGTGAGTTGATCCGGTCGCTCCCCATCCAAGACGCTTGTCATGAATAAATAAAACCTGCTTCTATTTACAGGAAAAAACCAGCAGTATGCACGGAAGGTTGTTCAAAAGCAGCGTGAAGCCACAAATAGGTGTCGGGAATTCAAAATTCTCGCCGGTGGAATTTAAATCAAGGGTTGGTTAAAAACGTTCAATCTCCTTCTCGTATCGCTTCTCAGTCAATCACACGAGCTTATGTTGCCTTGTGTTATCGGCGCGAGGCTTGAAATCAGAATTTTACCGGACGTCTTATTCTGAACATATCTCACAGCGGAAAAATAAAACACTTGTTAGCCCGACAATGGACATTTCTGAAAGATGTAAACTATCTCAGTCGTCTTTGTTGCATAAATTTAAAGGTTTACAAGTGAATCAATTATTATTCATGTTTGCTTTTATTGTATCAAGTTGTCACCGCGAGGGACCCTTGCTTTGTATTGTTTGCGTTGTTTGATAGTCGCGTAAATAAAGAGGAAAAAACCTATTTGATTGGGAAGCTTTTCTAAAAGCATACCAGACGCTATTTGTAATTTACAAAAAAGAAAAAAAAACACGGTCATTTCAAAATTGTAATTTTAAATACTGTAGTGCTGCTGATATTACATCAAGTACACAGCTTTTGGTAAGAAATATGTTTTTTTTGGACTTACTACTTGAAGAGCCGAGGTCGCCCATCTCACATTGGACCTAGAATAAGAAATCTGAGAATAAACAAATCCGGCACAAAGCTGAAAAAAATAAAAACACAATGTTCTTGTTATTTTACCGACGATATCGCGTTGCCATCTTTTAAAGCATGTTAATTATCACTCGAGTTATAAGGGACAGTACAGCACAAAAACTTTGAGCGAATTTGAATTCAAGTTTTTGTGATCGATCGAGGCCTAATTTGGTGAACGTTGGTAAGGAAATGGTTGACACCAGCGATAAGACGAAACTGAAAGACAATATTATCACATCGGTACATTCTCTGTGGAGCATTTGGCGTATAAACTTTCAGTTTTTAAAAGCCTTTATTTTTAGGTCTGAAAATACTTACACGTGACCCGATGTGCGTGCCGTACGCGTTTCAACCGAGAACGAGTTTTCTTCAAATCTCGGCAAACACGAGCCAAACGCAAGGAAACCCACCAGAAGTTGCCGAAAACACACGGGAGGTTCAGGCTAAACAGTTACAAGTAGAACTCGTTGCAAAATTTAATCCACGAAATACGAAGGAATATAAATTTTCTCTCCTTGAAATTGTGGAAGGTCTGATTCTGTAAACGTTTTCCCACGCATATTAAGCTTGCAGACTTTGAAAGTTTCAGAAAAGATATTTGGAGGTGTAAGTCGCATCAAAATGGCGGAGAGAAACAAGAACTGTGTTATTCCTTTACATAGGCAGGTCAACAAAAAATAGCTCAGTGACTGCTAAATAATCACCCGAGCAATAACAAATTAATTCTATAAATTTTCCTGTTGGTTTCCTCTGCTGACAAAGTTTGCGAGCGTGAAGTTCACTATCTGTGTTTCGCGATGATCTTAAAGTTGTCACGCAACGCTTCTCATGTTTGCGTGAAGACGTAACGAAAAGGAATTACAAAACACTGTAATACTTATTTGATCTTCTTGAACATAATTTAGAAATAAAGATTAGTCCTTTTTTATTCTCAGCAGAAGAAGTGTGACTTGAAGACCGACACAAATAAAGTACAAAGTACAGTATTGGCGCATATTTTATAGCATTGTACCATGATAACAGTCATGAATTTAAATAGAGGGAACTAATCTTGTCCCTTGACATTTTACAAAAGCTTTCCACCCGAAAAGACGAGACAAAATGTCGGTTTTAAATTGAAAAAAAAAAAATACTACATGCGGTATACCTTTTCCCAGCGGCGATAACACACTTTCAATAAAAAACCAATTACAAAAGTGGTAATTTGTCGTTAATAAAGTAAATATTGCGTATTTCAGTTCATGAGGTTTTCGAGCGTTCACCGCTACTTGCGGAGGTCAAGCGTAGAGATCTTGCCAACCAAAACACGATGAAAAGATTTCCAGCTAAAACTAACAGAGTCAATCCGACGGTCTCGAAGAAACTTGGAATATCTTCTGTAGCTAGGACTTCTTTCCTTGCCGCGAGATCCGAAAAGAACACAGAATAGGCAAAGTGATCGCCCACTGTTGTGAACACATGAAGGAAATTGTGACTGTGCCCGATAAAATCGAACACACCGGGCGCGAATCGCTCGGGTATCCGGGTCGTGTTCACCACTGCGGCGATCGCGAACGACAGGAAGCAGCCTGTGAAGAGAGGAAGAGAGTCGTGATTGCAAACGGGATCAGAAGAGCAGAAGATAAGTTGGCGGATAATAAAAGGCGAACAGTTGTAGGCCCAAGACACCATGTGGGAACCCGTGCGGATAATGAATTTCGCGTGCAGCCAGCGATGGCGAGACCTGCAGCAGGAGTAGTTGGCTCCGAATGAGATCACAGCGGAGACGAATAAGAACAGTTCACGCCAGTCGTAAAGCAGGAGTCCTGATCCCAGAGGATGGCAGTAAAAGTAAAACGCTTGGCCCGCAGTGAACGTGTACACGCTTATGGCGGCGTAATCGAGGTAGTAACCGATGTGGAATTCCCTTTCGGTCATGGAACTGAACATGTGAGCGAGGCAGCTCATGGTGTAAAGCGTGCAGCAGCCTAGAGTGAAGGACGTGAGCGGAAAATAAAAATGATCTGTGGACGGATTGTGGTTCCACACCACTGAACAGTAGCGAGCAACCATAAGCACAATGGACAGAACGTGACTCCAGAAATTCACAGATTCATTGTTGGTGTAGAACATACTCTTTGCACTCTCCGAGGCGGACAGGTTTCGTAGCCGGTATCCGGATACAAGAAACTTCTCCCGGTAAGCTGTCGGCATTTGATAGTCACGTAACACTCGCGAGTGCCGGTTCGGCGAACCCGCGATGATTTCTTTCACGACGCCATTCTCATTAAGGTTCTTGTCAAGGTTCAAATCATGCGATTTTAACTCGCCGTTTCGCTCGATGCGTGTCAGTTTATTTCTTGTTAGTTTCCTCGTCATATTTTACGTCTCTAAAGGCGACAAGTGTTTCCAACGAGTCTTTGTGGCTTTCTGAATCGCGTGTATTAAGCCGGCCCACACTGATTAAAAGCCGGCGAATTTATAATGCAAATTAGAACCTGTAACTGCCCCTGTGACGCAATCCTCCCACTTAAGGTGGCCGAACACTGTTTTCGCGCGCGCTNGTTGACAGAAGGGATTTAATGTCAATTCATAGTGGGCAAATGATGAAAAAAATCTAACGACTAAATTTTTTTTAAATAAACAAAAACCATTTTTTAAGCCTTGTTTTTAACCAGCCCCTTTGCCATGGCAACAGCACTCACCTTAGCCAAAATAAGAGAATAAACTCTTCTGTGGTTAACGTTGACTCTCGCAAAAAACGGGCGCCAAAGCATAAATATCTTTAAAGTAATGGTGAATTAGGCAGAGGCTCTTGAAAACTGTGTTTGGCCTCCTTAAGGAGTTACCAAGGTTGCGACATTACGAGGTAACAATGAAATCAGAATCCTAACTCAATACTCCCTCTGCTTTTCTTCTGACAACATCTCGTGTAAAACAGCAACAAAAAGACTATAAAAAAACTTTTGTTTGGAAGTGGCAAATATTTACCATGTAAAAAAACTAATGTCATCTCGAATCATTATTCTCTGTTATTTTGTGTGACCCGGACGAACTCCGACCCGGTGTGAACTTGCCTCTGCGTATTTCACCCTTAAATGCCCAGCTGTGAAGTGACAAGAATGTTACTTTAAAAAAAACAATAAGCTGCAGAATGTTAAAGGAGGATCTCAGCCGTAGAACTGGCCAAAAATCTAGCCGTTATGGTTTAGGGTTAGGCGTTAAAATTGGAAAATTTTAACCGTTAGCCATAAAACTTGTAAACCGTAAAAACAATTCAGCCACGAAAGTGCAAGTCTCAAGATCTCTTGTCGAGACTTTTTTGGGTCTTGTCTGACTATGTAGTAAGCTATATTAGTCTGCAATTCTTATGATAATATCTTTTCGTAACTAAGATGATCTTTTCAAAGACCTTAAATATGTTTAACAGCAATCAAAATAAATTTTCTAAGATTTCTGTTAACCGTAAGGAACTATGAAGATATCAGTATAGTAAATGAGACAGTTAATACTTTTGTTGCGAGAACTTGTATAATACAGTGTAAAATACTACATCGTACTTCATATCCTCTGACCAAATCAAGCCCAGCAAATGGTGAATGACAAACTACTTATTGTCTGAGTTCGGTCGGGCTGGACGGCAAATAATTTGGCCCTCAGTCAGGAAGCCGGGACTTCAAGCCAAACATTTTCCCATCCGGTCTCTCATTCAGTCAACAAGCGTGTTTTATTCCCTTTCATCTATTTCCTACCCCCTCCCCTCCTCCCCAGCCCTTGTGCGTGACCAATACATATTAATATCTTGGTGATACGACTTACTGCTTCCGAATACAAGTATGTTAAATGTCCAATCTTTCTTCATGAGGCTGAGGCACATCAACAAAATTTTCTTGGCCTCTTCTAGAGGAGTACCCTGAAAATAGAGAGTTACATATAACACTAAAACAACAACGAAGAGAGACGTATTTTACTTGGACTAATAGACCCTTTCATGAATAGCGCCTATACACTGTACATCCTTAGCCTCCTAATGTTTCCAGACAAATGATTTTTCACATGAATGTGAGGCTCAGGATGTATAAGTATTGTTATTCAAATTTAGGAGCCACTTATGCAAAGGGTCTATGCATCGCATCCTGAGGGGGGTGGAATAAGGAGCTCCATTCCGCCACACATATCTGTGTAACTGACATATGGAAGTAACCACCCACCCACCCCCTACCCCTTCCCCAGCAGCACAACATCAAACAACGACAGAAAACGACAACACTAGAACTAACCTTCATTGAACAGGACAAATCAAACAAAAATACGACCTCGACTTCTGAGGGACTCTCTGCCTCGAATTCGGGGTAGAATGTCAACATGCACGCCTACAAAAACAGGTGGAAATATAAACAACAGTTTTTCAAATCAGTGAAACAAGGAGATGGTCGTCTTAAGCAGCAACGTTGACCAGCTTGGAGGTTTCCTTCTCAGTTTCTTAGTCATTTAGCAGCTAGCCTGCGAGCAGGTTCACGTTGGAGCGCGAAATCGAGCGGCGAAGCCAAATTGTCCAAAATTGTTTCACTTTCTTGGCGCCTTTTCACCAGACTCCTTTCCTCCGGATCGCTTTGCTCTTCGCCGCTCGCGCGCGTGACTCAAAGGTGAGCCTGCTCGCAGGCTAATTAGCAGCGGAAAGTTAACTATTTTCAACTAACCACAGAAAACAAATAAACTTGAAAAACAGTCGATAATTAAGAGGTTGCTTGGCGCATCAAAATTAACGTATTCCGCTTCCTGCTCAGCAAAGTAAGGAAAAGGTGAACTTTTCGCAGTCAAGGTGGGTTGTAATGGTCTAAATTTCGTAGAGTTACAAGAAAATAAACGTAAGAAATTTTGAGTCTCGTATAATCGCAACCTTGTCTTCAGAACGTTTACCGCTTACCTGACTGTCTGGCTTGCTGACGTGCCGTTCAACCCACATCCGGGGTACGTGAATCTCTGCTAAACCAATCAGAAGCTGGAAACCATCACCTAGAGGTTGACCACGCTCCATTAACACCACTGCTTTGGTGGCTGTCCGCTGGACAAAGAAATCGTAGATAAAGATTTAAGTATATCCTCCATACAACAAACACACCTTGCGTCAAAAATGCTAGTCTTAGTTCTCTCTGATGTCTAAGATTTCTCGAGGAGAGAAACATACGCGAGTTTAGTCCAGAATATCTCTGCAAGCTCAAAATGAATCAATCTAATTATATTGACTAGCTATTTACGAGTTATTGACACTACATGGTTAGCGTTACCTTAGTTATAATAACATGAGTAGGAGACTCGAGTGTACGAATCTCAAACGGCATCTCCACAGACATTTCCACGGATAGTTCATACAGATCGCTATAAAAGAAACAAACAAAAACTTTATTTGCCAGTAAGAGGGGTTATGGTAAGACTTAGGTAGAGCCCAGACTGCTCTGGGATGTCTGCAAGAAACCGGCGGGAGAAGAACAGATGACTGGGTACTAGTCAGCGCCATTGTAATCCCAGAACTCACCTCAGGCTTTCGTCCCGCATCTTTACTGTCTCGACGTCAGTCTAAAAAAAAAAAAGCCATCGATTTAGAAACAAATGTTTGAATAAAATACGTTGTGTGACAAACGCACAAGCAAACTTGTGTCGTTACTTGAGTGAAGCGTTTGTAACCACATTTTATAAATCACATACATCAGCTAGACTTCTTGAGATTCCATTACATACATTATTTTATGTACATTGTGGTGTTTTATCTTGATCAACTTACATCTTGCTAATCATTATTATCGTTCAAAAACACACGTCCTTCCTCAAGGAAAGAAAGCACAATAACCACAAACTTCACAGGCACAGTCAAATACAAATCAGACTTAAGTGCATAGCCGGTTACAAAATTACGCTTAGTTAGTTAGTGTTGGTGAACAACTTCCTTTTCAATTTAAGGCTTCCATTTCTCATTGTAATATTCAGGTGAATTATAACGGTGAGATTTGTTTTGGTTTTCTACTCAATTAAACTTGTGCTTTGTTCCCATTACTGTTTAATAAACAATTAACTACAAAGTGATCAGTATACTAAAGCAAACCTGAGTAACTTCGTCCAAGGCCTTGTCACGTGTCCACGGTGCCACAGAGCCTGGGAGCGAGAAACAAATGTGTTCCCTGTCCACCGTGAGCTCAGTGACGTATGTTATCTTGATTAACACTAATGCACCGGGAGGGAGGTTTCCTACGCTGACGGTGAACACATCCTAAGGAAAGACAAGAGAAAAAAACAAATTGCAAAGTGGAGAGTGACAAACAAAGATGTCATTAGCAGTAAATTCACTTATCAGTCTTAGATCATTCTGGCGTCTTTCTATTGAGTCAGTTTTGGTGGTTTTCTGATGTCATGGATATTCAAGAGATTCACGATGGCTTTCAGCTTATAACACAAACAGGATAATGGGACAGGCAACGTGACAAGTGACATACCGGAGTTTCTTCGTCCATGAGGTAAGCCCCATGCCCCTGACTGATGGCTTCCCGATACTCTTTGTGGGCCTGCTCTTTCTCTTTCACTTCACCCACGATGTGTTTACCGTTGATGAATGCCTCGAAACCACAAACTACAACAGGAAGTAAAACATTACTTTTTGTAAAATTTTGTAAAATTTCGAAAAAAGTCAGGGTTTTAAGTCTGTTCAAGACCTAGGAATTGAAAGAGCCACGAGGTTCATCAAAACTGGCGAAACAACGCTTCCGTAACATAAACAGACCCGGAGTTTATACACCTAGGTGGACAGGATATCAGAGACAGAGAAGAACAGTATTTCGCTGAACAATACAACATTTAAGCAATAGATTACACGTTTTTAAGGTTTACAGGCTGATAAACCACGCGGGATGTTGGAAGAACACGAGAAGAATTCGTGAATTACGAGCCGCAGGCGAGTGATTTACGGATTCTTCGAGTGTTCTTCCAACATCCCAAGTGGTTTATTATGCCTCTAAACCATAGAAACTTGTAGTCTATTGCTTTTATATAATAGTTCAGAAGACACGCGAAATTTCCATGAGTTTACTGGCACAATAAACCATAGCTGATTGACCA